TGGTTTGTTTGTGGCTCTTCACGTTGATACCAATATCACAATACAGTTTGTGTCTGCGAATCTTCGTGTTGGTACCAGTGCCACAATATGGTTTGTCTGTGGCTCTTCACGTTGATACCAATATCACAATACAGTTTGTGTCTGCGAATCTTCGTGTTGATACTAGTGCCACAATACGGTCTCTCTATGACGTTTCGTGTTGATGCCAATATCACAATACAAAGTGTATCTGTGACGACTGTTGTTTTTACTATTACCACGGTATAATTGAGGATTGCAACCTTTCTTATTATCAGAAACAGCATGTTTTACTGGAGGTGGCACTGCTCTTTCACCTTTACCTTCGTAATTATTCACAAGTCGTTCGTAAAGGTAGGTGGAAGAAGAAAATTGTTAGTTTAAAAATGATTGATTAACATATCGTCTGAATTAACACAAACGGTATAAAAATGAAATAAAGTAAGAAAGACGCGTCAATATGTTTGACATGTTTCCTTCTGTAATATTGCAAAGAAAACAAAACTTCGTGAGTATGCATATCTTAATGAACTGTTAAACACCAGTTGGTTCATTGGTTACTTTTGACAAAACTTTTGACTTGGTCCGAAAAGTCCACCTTGAACCAATCCTATCGAAACATACTCCCCTTTAAAACTAAATAATATTTTGTCAATACTACTAGTTGTTATTTCTAACCAATCCTATCGAAACATACTCCCCTTTAAAACTAAATAATATTTTGTCAATACTACTAGTTGTTATTTCTTCGAAGTCATTTATACCTACTTATAAAGCAGGTTACTAATATAATATCCATAACTTATTATTATTAGAAGTAATCCAAGTTTTGTAAACAAATGTAACATCAGTCTTCTCTCTAACAAACTTAGCACCGATGGCGACTAACTTAGTGTGTTAAACAGTAAAAGGAAATAACGACCAAAATATGTGATGTGCACGTAAAACTTCATTATGTATTTAGAGCTGCATGTAAGTGTAGTTGAGTATAGATATTTATTGTGTTGGATTCTGTATAAGATACATAAGCTTGAAAACAAATTCTTCAACAAGGCTAGAAATCAATATAATGCCTACATATTGTGTTATATTTCTCTAACCAACAGTTTAAGTAACGGAGCGAAACCAAATTGGTGAATTACACATTCGTTAAATTATATGTGATTATTTTGGGGAAACTTTATGCAGGCACTTGAAAAATCAAATAAGTATAGACTAAGACCTGATTTGGATCTATTTCCTTAAATACACGCACGAATAGTTATAATTAAGCATATTCATAATCAGAAATATTATTTAAATGTATGCTACTGCTCAACTCGGGTGTAAATCATTATAAAAACTCGAAAAATAATACACCTGAATTATCCTAAAATAAGGACAATTTTACATGACACCACTTGCAATGACATGCTTTACTTACTAAATCTGCTGTCTGACACAATATATTAGGTTTAATGAAATAATTAGAATAATGCTGCCAAAACTACTTCGAAAGATAAAATAAACTTACCTAACATTCTTCGTAATCTCTTGTGTTCTAGTTAATAGCATTAATACTTGTGCTAAGCCTACAAACTGAAACTAGAAGGCGACTTCAGCAACTTTTTCTTCGCTATGTATTGTAGAACAAGTGAATCACGTTAAAAAAGGCACATTGGATTAATATATAATTACAATACACGTGAACAACTGAGAAGCCACATTACGCACACAATATATAGAATGATCATTAACGGTGTTGTCATGCCTGACATCCCTTGGAAACATCATTTGATTTTGTCTGCTAATAAGTTATTTTATAATACAATTCATTGCTGGCTTAGCTGGATATACCATTACATCTTCCATTCAGTCCAATTTGATAAGACAGTCTCTCTGAAGGAAACTCCAATTTCGTCAGATATAAGCCCCTTTCTGGGGTTGGGGGGCTACATCTTCCAAGAAGGGGGATGTGGCGATCAAGGGGTTCTGTGCAAGACTTAAATGCAGGAGCTGGTCTGTTAGTTAGAGAGTCTTGGCTAATGTCATGTAACAGTGGTTGTTCAAGATCATCTTCAAAATCTCTGGCTCTACAAGTTTCGCTCTTTAACTGGTGACTTGAGAAAGACGTTTCATTTTTTGGCATCTGAATAACCCTACCTTTAAGAAGGGGCTCAGCTTGGCCGTCATCGTCGTCTAGGCGGCAAGACCTGGGTTCTCTGCCCTCGGACGTCTCACTGTCCGAGAGTCCATCACTTTCAATAGTGGCCAAATGTGGGGATTCTGCATTTACGGATATCATAATGGAGCAATCTGGAACATAAAGCTCTAATTCCAGGGATCCAACAGAGCAGCGACCAGGAGTATCGCAGCCATCAGGATCAGACAAAACAATGTCTTGGGGTGAAGCCACGAAGTCATCCTCTATCTGTGGACTCATCAGATGGGACAACGATCGATCTTGGCTTGAAGGTCGTCTTGTGGGCAGCGTTAGAGTTGACCTTTCGGGTTTTGGCAGACCATTAGGAATCCCTGCATTCAATACAGTTTCTCTTTTGGTCTCTATCCTGGATCGTCGTCGCTCACTTAAAGACGTTATTGAAGGTTTACGAATGGGGAAGAAGGGAGACATGTTGGGAACTGTTAGGTAGTTTCCATAATGACCAGTACCAGAGGAATAGTCCTTTTGGTGCAGTTGTCCTTCAAATTGCTCAGAAACAGCAACGTCACCATCCGCATGATGCTCTTTCATGGGTACCACGCGAGCTCCAGCATCCTTACCATCAAAAGTCAGAACACATGCGGCTACAATGACAATACCACCAATTCCCATAATGACGGGACCAGCGTAGGTCAAATTATGTAGATGGAACTTCTTGACTTCATCCAGCACAGCCACAGTCTCATTGCCTCGTTGCTCTAGATAAGTAGCAAGGGGGCCTGCATAGAAACCGACCACAGACATGACAGTTCCCATGAGGATCAGGGTGATCCCAGCACTGAGGGACTTGATTCCTCGCCAGCAACAAGCCCAGCTGAAACGTGATTTAGGCTTTTGCTCTTCTTCATTTTGCAGTGATGATCCGTATCCTAAAGGTGGCAGAGGATGGAGATGCTGGTGGGATGGAGTTCTTGGTCGTGGTTTGCGGGTCGGTGTAGGGGGAGGGAGTTTTCCCGTTCCATGTTGTTGGCGAATCTGACGACCAATAACAGCAGCACTGTTCATCCGGGCCATAATTAGGAGTTACTTTACACGTTGAGTATCAGGGAAATTGGTTAAACTAGTATAAAAAGTAAAAGCTGGAAAGGAAACGATTACAACTTGAAGATCAGGATTTTGACATTAGACAGGATATGATCTTGGAATTCGGAATGGATGAGCTCAACAGATATATCGAAACTGCTGGACTTTATTATAGTTTGTGGATGTTCTTCCGAAGTTTTGGCCCGTTTTCTAAAATATTTGCTCAAGTTAAATGAAGATTACACAGTTAACATTTTTCAGAAAGGCTAACACTGTGATTCAATTTTCTTAATGATTTCATTCACTTGTTTAAAATACTGTCTTTTAATAATCCTGTGGGTTTAACTGATAGTATCCAGCACATCAACAGTTAGCCTTAATATCCAGAGTGAAGTGAGCAGTTAACCTTTAATTGTTGAGCTTTATGTTGAGCAGTCTTACGATAATCTGTCTTCCTCCTTTGACGGGTGTTCAGTGTTTTTTGGAAAAATTGCATTGTTTAACGAACTCACCATTAAGACTTTCTCCTTTTGCTATACAAGTATAGAGTGCGTGCTCTTCAGCAGCACAAAGTTCTCCTAGCAGCAATGTGTTAACCATCCGATGTGAGCGGCAACCTACCATAAGAAGAATTGTCAACTGTAACGCGATGCAGTCGACACCTCACGCATGTGCAGAAGATGCCACAAGTCTGCAGCCAGTTGAGACGATCGAATGTATCTATATAAGTGCAATCGTTTGCGTGTATGTGTATGTTCGTGTGTATATTAGAACTTCGTTCTGTGTGAGAAGTTTCCGCCATCTGCTTGCTTTAATCAGCTGATTAGCTGAAATGAATTAAACGCCATCATGTGGTAAATTATGAAACCAAGAAGGTTGTTTTTAATTTTAGTTTTTCTGTAAAACAACTCAAACGATGGAGATGGTCCGGAAAAGAGAAGAGCCTCGGTTTCCGGCCAAGGACAAAGCTCCAAGGTTTAGCTATCAATCGATTTTATGGCTCAAACCCAGTTAGTAAAACGAAATACACAGCCGAGAGACTGTCATTCACAAGAGTGGGCCGATACCACAAAAACATAAAATATTCGAAGCTCTTAGAAACCAGAAATGAAATAACCTCGACTTAGTTTTACTTTAAACAAAATATTCATATTTTATTAATAACCTTTTTTTTTGTTTCTAAATAAGAAGAACATGACAACGGTTTTATTGATTCAATAGCTATTCATACGTGCATGTGTGATTTGGGATGGCATAAAATAATTTTTAATGTACATGTACATCTAAACGTGTAATAATGATCGGTTCATTTTATAAAAAAAGTAATTTGTTTAATAAAGTTTGTTGGTGTGTCTGAATTATCACTGTAAAGCAAACACGAAAGAAAACAGTATTTAAGGTTGTTGTACAGTATTAGAAGAATAAATATAAAACTTAGGATTTAAAAAATAAAAGTTTTGAGACGACTTGACAAGGTAATGAAAAACTTTTTTGTAAATGTACGACGTTTCGACAAGATTTTGTCATCCTCAGGTTCCTCGTTATCAATCCACCTAGGATTGAATAACATTGTTGCGAGCACATATTATAAAACACTAATATTGTGTAACATTGTTACAACTCAAAAAACATAATAAAGTACTAGTTAAGACTGTGTAATATTGTTATAGAACAAGACATGCAGGGTTTTAACATGTCGTATGAATGTATGTTTTTACTCCAAATTAAACGTATGTCTAACTTTTCACGTGAATTTATAAAACTGTATGTGATGATCTTATATGGAGTTATCGAGGTGTACTCACGTGTTTTTTATACATGCGTATAAAACTGTATGTGATGATCTTATATGGAGTTATCGAGGTGTACACACGTGTTTTTTATACATGCGTATAAAACTGTATGTGATGATCTTATATGGAGTTATCGAGGTGTACACACGTGTTTTTTATACATGCGTATAAAACTGTATGTGATGATCTTATATGGAGTTATCGAGTGTACACACGTGTTTTTTATACATGCGTATAAAACTGTATGTTGATCGATTCTTATATGGAGTTACTCGGAGGTTAGTACACTACGTTTGTTTTTTAA